GGGACAATCAAGGCAGAGTCTCAAGAATTAGATGAATGCAGGAGCTGCACGTAACTAACAGCTGCTCCTCTCCTGGTTTCCCCTGCTGCTGAATTGGGTGGAGGAGGGAGGGGAAGGGCCCACACTGACTAGCAGAGGGGCTTATAGAGCTCTCAGCAAGTGGGGCTCCCAGCAGAAGCTGTGCAGGTGGGCAGTGAGAGCTCCCTGGGCACGTGGCACAGAGCAAACGTGTTGCAGTACTGCGTCCAGTTCTGGGCTCCTCACTTAAGGAGGGATGTGGACAGCACTGAGAGGGTCCAGAGGAGGGCCACTCGCATGATCAGGGGGCAGCAGGGCAGACCCTATGAGGAGAGGCTACGGGACCTGAACCTGTTCAGCCTCCACAAGAGAAGGCTGAGAGGGGACCTGGTGGCTGTCTACAAACTTACCAGGGGGGATCAGCGGGGAATGGGATAGACCCTGTTCACCCATGCACCTCCCAGAGTAACAAGGAATAACGGCCATAAGTTGTTTGAGAGTAGGTTCAGGTTGGACATTAGAAGACACTACTTCACAGTCAGGGCAGCTAGGATCTGGAACCAACTTCCAAGGGAAGTGGTGCTTGCCCCTACCCTGGGGGTCTTTAAGAGGAGGCTTGACAATTACCTAGCTGGGGTCACATGAGCCCAGTACTCTGTGCTGCCCAGGGCAGGGGGTCGGACTTGATGATCTACTTATGTCCCTTCCGACCCTACTTCTATGAAACTATGAATCTATGAAAAGGAGGGGGCAGGGGTGCTATGGCACCACTGCTGGATCTGCCCCTGCCTGAAGGCAGGCAGCACCCTAAAGGTCAGTCCTGATAGCAACCAGGAGTAGAAAGGTGGTCAGTCCATTAGCAAACGTAGAATGCTGTGTGAAAACTACTGGTGGAAATGTTGCAAAGGATGTGTGCATTTATAACTGTCTGCATCTCTTAATTACTGGCATGACAGAAAAAGCTGAAGTGAAATTAGAAGAGGCATCAAATTCTCAAAGGACTGTGAAAGCTGTCCTATCCTTTATGGATCATCACTGTTACTTTATTTGTAGAGAAAGCATGAGCTACTTCTCCACCTGAAATATTCCAACCCTATCCTACATGTTCTCTGGCTTTAAATTTAATAATTCCCCAGCCGGGATAGAATTTGCCACAACCTTTCCTAGATATTTTTTCTGAAGTTTGTATATCATTTGTAGTTTGGTACAGCAAGAGATCAGTCACTTGTAGTGTCCCTGAATAGCATCAATTAGCCTAGTTTAGCTTACTTTGATATAAAAAATTACTTTAACCTTTCTTTCCTTGCTCATGTTTAATTTTAAATGTGTCATCTTTTGATGGTTTCTTTGGTCCATCGGTGTAGAATGAATAATAATAACTTACATTTCTGCAACACCTTTCATCCTGACAGATCCAGAAATGCTTTAATCATTGAATCACAGAGGATGATTAGCTCACCTAGTTTATCTCCTAACTAGTATGATATTGTTCCCTGTTAGTTTGGTTCAATTTGAAGTTTTGAGACCAAACTACAGCCTGATGCATATCATGTTGGTGAGATGTTTTTCATGATATATATCCAGCTTTTCATCCTTTTTAAAGTCACCTTGTTCCCCCTATTCCCCTAAATAATTCCTTTCCCCTCTGATGTTAACACCCATCAAATATTATCAGTGTTAACACATTCCAACAATGCCTTCAGTGTTTCTTCACTGAACTATAGGTATTTAAATGCATATACTTAATCTTCCCTCCTAAACCGTATTACTGGTATCAGTTCCCAAATCATTCTATACCTGCTCTTTGGACACTGCCACCTCTATTATGATAGGAGGTACTGGGACAGAACACAACATGCCATGCACAAGTGTTATGGGATCTGATATTTGATCCCACCAATCGTACCTCCTTCCCTGCCACATGATCGCAGGCTCCCCCTGTACTAGCAAGTAGCAAGCTGGGTGCCCAGAGTGCCAGTCAGCTGATTGGCACTCCCAGCCTTGAGAGCACACAGGAGCCTTGAAGGGTTTCAGTGTGCTCCTAAGGTGGGGAACACCGATCAGCTGATCAAAACTGACTGCAGGTTTAATTTAAGGCACGGTGGGAACTGGCCATGAAGTTCTTTAACACATTTATTTTTTCTCATTGCCTTGTTGCTTATTCCCTGTTTTATCATGTCATTACTGTATTTACTTGAATATAAGATGATCCCCCCCCCAAAATTAGTTACTATACATGGAAAATTTGTAAATGTGTTATAAATTGCCAGGTATAGAATCTAATTTATTGGAGGTTTGCCTTGAATTTGTCCCCCTTCTACTGCTGCAGAATAGAAAATAAATCTTGGGGGGTCAGGTGGCTGACTCCCTTGCCCTCTGCGCCCCCCCAACTTTTCCCCCCTGGAGCCCCACTCTTACTGTCAGACCCTGCTCTTCCTGAGCACATGGAAGTGAGGGGAAATCTGAAAACACAGGACACATCTACATAAAATGTTTACTGTGTAGCTACCTAATTAGCTCCACAGTCAATGTCTGTGTCTACACGTGAGTCCCTATTAGGGCACACAAAACTAACTTATAAATACAAGTACTAGCCTGCTCCAGATTTTTTGTGTGCAGCAGTGCACATGTAGATACTGCCCAGCTGGCTGGAGCATGAGGGTACTTCAGTGCAGGGGCTGCCTGCTGGCTAGCCCTGCATGAAGCACCCTTATTCCCCAGCCAGTCCTTCTACGGCATATTGAACCCAGTTGGAGCAATTCTGGGCTGCTGCTAGCCAGGGCTGCTCCGACCGGGCTCAATGTGCTGTGCACAAATAAACTCCAGAGCAATAGCTCTGGAGTTTATTTATATACATTAATTGCATGTGTAGACACGCTCACTGACTTTGAAATAAACATGCCTGTAGTAATTTAGTTTATCCATAATTGAAGCATTTTACATTTTGTGAAACCACTGCAGCTTTTAGCACAGGTACTCCTTTAGTACACATTTAAACAGCACTTTTGTACCCACTTATACGTAGTACAAATGATGCATGATATTAGTCCAAAGCCAAAAGGCTCATAATTTACCATCTAGTTCATTGCCCCAGCAGAGTCAACAGTGTTTCAGCCCCACAGCTCAGCACTTAGCTAGAAAGCAACTGCTTCTGCCAGCTGGTAGGGAGCAGGCACAGCCTTGCAGAGGGGCTGCCATTGGCGTAGGAGCAAATTACAACAAATTAAAAGGAAGGAGGACTGCCTTTGTACACACCCTTATCTAAAGCATGGTACTTTATGCATTAATGAAACAAGGCTAAGTTAACATGATTTAGCTTCCACTTACTACAAAGCAAGAGCATGTACATAGAGGTTTACCCTGGAGTAGCCCATATGCAGTAAATCCCTGCACATTACTGACTGGAATTTGTTCATTTGTCTAGAAACATAATTTTGCTTTAAATGCTGCAGTTGGGTTTTGGCAGATTCCTGTGTATCCAGACAGTGCCAAATTAATAACTTTAATCAAGTCATTGCGACAGTATTATTTCTGCAGCACTTCATTTGGCATTACTAGTGCACTAGAGGTCTTCCATTTGAAAATGATATAGGTATTGCAGCACCTGGATATAGGTGTAATCAGTTCTAGCAGTGATATTCTATCATATGTCTACAGAGAAATGGGTATGGAGAAAAAGAATAATCTTGTGATTGGGACTCAAGAGATCTCAGTTCTGTTTTCATAAACACTTTGAGAAACTTGAGTTACACGAGCTAAGTTCTCCAAGTCTCACGGC